CACGTCGAGTAAATCTATTCTTGTAATAGAAGACATTGATTGTTCACTTGATCTTACGGGCCAAAGGGAGAAGAAGGAGAAGAAAAACGACGAAAAGAAGGAAGAAAAGGATAAGGATCCCGTTAAGGCGGAGATGAAGAAAAGGGATGCAAATGACCAGAGTAGTCAGGTGACGTTATCCGGGCTTCTTAATTTCATTGATGGGCTATGGTCAGCTTGTGGCGGGGAAAGGATAATTGTTTTTACGACGAACTATGTAGACAAGCTGGATCCTATGTAGACAAGCTGGATCCTGCTTTGATTCGGAGAGGAAGGATGGATAAGCATATAGAATTATCATATTGTAGCTTTGAAGCATTCAAAGTTTTAGCAAAGAATTATTTGGACCTTAAATCTCATCATCTTTTTGGCAGGATTGATATCCTGTTACAGGAAACCAAAATGACTCCTGCAGATGTTGCCGAAAACCTGATGCCCAAATCAACTGAAGAAGATGGGGAAGCTTGCTTGGTGAGATTGGTCGAGGCTCTAGAAGAAGCAAAAGTGAAGGCCGAGGAAGAAGCAAAAAAGAAGGCAGAGGAAGAAGCAAAGGCTAAGGCCGAGGAAGAAGCAAAAGCGAAAGCTGAGGAAGAAGAGAAGCTAAAGGCTGAGAAAGAGAAAGAAGAAAATGGTAAAGAAGGTGTCGAAGTTAATGAAGAAGCGAAAGAAAATGGTGAAGATAATAAACATTCGGAGACTAATGGTGTGAAAGAAAATGGAGATATCTCTCATTGACGATATGATATGAAAGTTGGGAGGGATCGAATGATTTGCAGCAAGAAAAAGGGTCACAATAGTTGGTTCAGTGCAGATATATCAAATAAATGTTGATATTGTAGTAGTGTTTTATTCACCTTTGTAGAAAAAATAACCAAAAAAAAAAAAAATGTTAGCTGTTTCATTTGTAGCCGGTCGATCTGGACTAGGTTTCATTGTAATCCAATTTTATTGTAAATAGTGTGATTAACTATGAAGTTGTGCTCATTTGAAAAAATTCTTCAGAAAAAACAGAATGCAGTTTTAAGAATGTTATACGCCGAGTTTGAAGTCCTAAATTTATGTTTAGACAGGTTCCTAAAGTCCTTGTCACTTGAATGCATAAAAATTGATCGATCACTTCAATGAGGAAATATGACCACAAACTAGTTGTGATTTGTCACAAGAAGACATGTCATGTCACATAGCCCCTATTTGACTCATATTAAAATTTGAGTTAAAGTCAAATAATCAATATTAACCACATTTTTCATGGATCCCACAACTTTTCAATGACATATTTCAAAAATTTCTATCAAAATCTACTAAAAATCTAATTTTAATCCCCATCAAACGTCATAAC